ATACTCAGTTACTTCAGTAGATTCTCAGTACCCTTCCAGCCAGTGGTTCACAGATGAGTCATCTGTACCATAAGGCAGCTCTTACTCAGAGCCAACCAGTTCTGCTGAGGAAGGACTGTTTAGTCACTCAATAAATCCCTGCTAAGGTTCAACTCTGCTGGATGCAGGGAAAGACAGGAACAACAGCCCTGTGGGCACACAGTACACAATAAACCCTCTAGCATGTACCATTATCTCCATTTTACATTTGCAGGCTCAGTGAGGTCCAAAGCCACAGAGCTAACATTTTGGAGGTAGGATTTAAGCCTAATTCTGAGTCTATAATCTCTTAGTCTTTCTAGTAAGACATACTTCCTGCTGTACCAAAACTTCAGCAAAGTGGTCAAGAAAGCACATTAAATTTTCAAATAACTATGCAGTCAAATAAAGTTTCTTCATTTCAGTAATGCATGAAAACAAAACATCTATATGAATGACCAATTGCTCACAGGCGAGAGGTTTGTGGATTTATATTACTCAGATTTTTATATAATTCTAGGTACCCAGAATTTAACAAATTGAGTACTAGCCTTAACACTAATGTTAGTGTTAATGTTTACTGTGTAGCCTTTTTTATAAGACCTAAGTAGAAGCAGCACTGGCGATTTAGTGGCTCTGGAGTAGACTGCCTAAGTTAGAACCCGATTTTACCACTTTTTAGCAGTATGATCTTTGGCAAGTTATTTAACAATTCCAAGACTCAGCTTCGTCCCCTACAAAACAAGGCAGTTTTGGGGCAAATTAAATGAGCTAATCAAAAGAAAGCATTTACAGCAGCCTTGTATATGGTATGTACTGAATAAATGCTGGCTATCTTTATTACTGTGACCTTCTTTAAGTTGGAATAATTGGTTAGTTACCTCAATATCGTATTAAACAAATCAGACCAAAAATTTTCCAAGTACTTTACACAAGTAAAATATCATCTTGTCATAGTTTTACTACAATTCAAACATGAAAATTAATAGGTTTATGAAGACTAAAATTGCATCCCAATAGCACTCAATTATGTAGAATAAACAATTTTATATATATATATGATTAGTGAAGATTGACTTTAACAACTTAATTTTACAGTAAGGAGTTGACTAGGGGTGTGTGTGTGTGTGTGTGTGTGTGTGTGTGTGTGTGTGTGTGTGTGTGTGTGTGTTGGAGAGACAGGGAATAGAATACGACTCTAATTTGGCTATCTTCTGTGACTAAATTAACTAACTTCAAATTCTCTGCAGTTCTTATAATGGAACACATTCTTACCAAGATCAACCATGATTTCAATAAGCTTAAACCAAATTCTCAATTTATAAGAAATGATCCAGAGCCTGACTAATTCAAGGCAGAGCTGGGATCAGAAGCCACGTTTCCTGATTCCCAGTCAAAGGCCACATTCTACGGCTATCAGGTAACAACACATTAGATTGCACAAATGAAGTTACAGGTTTTCTCCATGTAAATCCATAAGATACTGTGTCACTGCCTACACCAATAAAAAGAATAAGACATCATTATTTTGTATTTTGGTTTAAACAAAAGCAACTTCCCATTCCTTTTTTTTTTTTAACTGAGGTGGAGGGTGTTACCTGAAAATCTATTGTTATTAAAACATTTTCCTTTACCCCAGTCCACTCCTGGGCCAAGCACAGATGCATTAAAAATTTGCCAAGAAAAACAATGAAGTCACTGATAATATAATGCATGAGAGTATCATGAAATTCATGTCATTGTTTTCTTCCTCTCAATACTTAATTACTTCTCATTACTGATCATTTTGTGGTTGTTGGCAGAGAGGCAAGGAAACTCCACCACTGTAAACATGCAGAGACACACACACTCAGTAGACCAGAAGTCTGCACAGGATATGTCTGTTCACAAATGCAGTGTGACTGCTTTACTAATCAGCAAGAATGTTGCTACTACGTCAGGCCCAAAGAGAAATGGTGGTCTCAGAAAAACTCTAACCACTTAAAAAAGTACAAACATTTTCAGGTCATTCCTTTTTTACCACTTATAACTATCACCATTGGCAAATGACCTATGATCTCCTGGCAGATTTCACCTAACCTGTTTAAGAGTGAGGTGAGTGAAGCTTGGATGTATACAGAGCTCCATCCAGCCACTGATGAAGCTCAGTACTAAAGTGCAAAGTGAGCAATACTCAGCAAACTACACTGTGAAACAGAAGCTTATATCACACTGGTATTGTGAAAAGCATACCTTGGTTAAGACTGATAGGGGAAAAGGAGTCCTAAGTGATTAACAGCAGAATACAAGTTGATGCCTATCAATAGGCTGTTGTTTGACATAGGAGTATGTAAGAGAAAATCACAGGAATCCTTAAAAAACAAAATAAACAAAAGCCACCCTATATACTTGAAGAAACTAAAAAAGGAAAGAGCTAAATATATTTTATCACCCTATTAAAGTAGACTTTTATTAGATTTTCAAAGAAATCTGAACTTGTGGGTATGGTAGACTTTTTCAAAGATGGTAGCAGTTAACTACTCCCATTTCTTTACAATGTGATGTTGTAATTCTTTCCATCTAGGAGTGGAATCTATTTCCTCCTCTTGAATCTGGACAGGGTTTGTGATAATCTATCACCCATAAAATGAGGCCTTGGAAGTTTAAACTCCCTTACTATTGGAAAACTGTCCTGAGATACCATGTGGGGAATCTGGGTCTAGCCTATTGGGAGGATTAGAGTGCATATACAGTAGGGATGAGAGGACCCAGCCGAAGTCCAACCAGCCAGGGATATTAGATAGCCAGGTATGTTATACAGTGTACCTTAGACCAGCAGAGCTATAAAATAGCTAAAAGTGTGGGGTAAACCACAGAATACTGAGATAATGAGGCACAACGCTTATCCTTGCACCTAAATAAACAAGCAAACACAAATATTAGATAAAAGGCATAGATACACTATCCTTCACAGCAAATATATATATATATATATATATAAGTAATATTTACTTGTTTTGAATATAACCAATCCATGTAATAGCCTTCCATTATTCCTATACTGCACAGCAAGGATATTCTTGGGGTATTTAAGAAAAAACAATGGATGGGGAAAGACAATTAGGAATCCTATTTATACTTATCAATATGTTTTCATAAGATAGAGCATGAACTGCATTAATAAATTAATATATACAAAATGGAATTTTCCCTAATCATATCTTCTATACTATCCTTTGCTTTTCTTAAGTAAATGAACCCTTCCCTGGCTACCTAGAGAAGAACCAGTGACAACTACTGCCACAGATCATTATTCAACTGTACTGTACTTATTTATAAATATTTGCTTTAGCAGGGCTATAAGCGTTTTTCAGATAGGGTATCTGAATTTGTTTTAGATAGTACAGCATAACAGCACTATGGCATAATTTCTGAAAGTATGGGATCTGGAACCAGGTTACCTAGTTTTGCCAGTAATTTATTAGCTATGTGACCTTCAATGATTACCCATGGTTCCATTTCTTCACTGTAAAATGGAGATAACAATATTCTGTACTTCAAGGTGTTATTGTGAGTATTAAAAAGTTATATGTAAGATGCTTAGAAGAGTGGTTGTCACATAGTAAGTGGTCAGCAAGTGTTAACTATCATAATTGCTGCTGCTGCCACCATCTTTCTATCCCAAATGTGTAAAAAAGTAGAGTACCTGCCTAGCAAGCACAAGGCCTGAGTGCAAACCCCAGAAATGCCAACCCCCTACCCCCGAAAAAAGCAAGTTTCAGAGAGAGATGTTCAACATGGTATTTGCACAAATTTTTAAAATATGCAAAGCAATATATTGCTCAGCAATATAGACACATTCTTTTAAGTTTAAAACACATACAGGAATGATAAGCACCATGTTAAAATGGTGGTTACATTTGAAGTTGGAGAGAAGAGAATGGATCTAGAAGAGATACAGAGGGGGCTTCAAGTACATTGCTTATAAAAATTTCTCTTATATATAGTAAATAATTAAAATTTTATAAATTTGTGTAGTAGCACATAACAGCAGTTCATTATATTTTCCTTTCTTTTCGGTATGCTTGGGTTTCTTAGATTTTTAGACATTATAATGAACTAAAAGTAAAGCATCAGTAATGACGAAAATTTCATGATTTGCAGGGACAAAAAGTAAAACTTATCTGCTTGTATATACTACTGGAGTCCACTATAAGCTCAAGTGATATTTTCTCTTCTAGTCAGAAACCTCAATGGTGGAATAATTTTTTTGCTATAGTAAATTAGTTTCGATAATTATATAATCAGATATGGAGCTAAAGTGGCCCTCAAATATTAATGGTCAACTACTATAGGCAAAAGTGCCTCTGCTTAAGAGATGAGGACTCTCAATGTCAGTCCTTCACTTATCCAAAGGACAGATCTGGAATTTTAGCAGAATGTCAGGAATATAGCCAAGGACCAAGCCTTAATTCCTTTAACACAAGGTGCCTTCATTAAAAATGTAACTTTCAGTATTCAGTAGAAGTTTATAACAATTGCTAAAAAATTTTAACAAAACAAAAACACACACAAAAATCCCAAAAACTTTAAAAAGGAAACACTGTAATGTAAGCTGAAGAAAAACAGCAAGTTTATCATTTTACAATTATGTTAAATATGCCTCAAATTAAGCAAGCACTTAGGCCGTGGTTAGAGGTATGACCTGGGTCCTCATGGTGTAATGTTTGATGGATGAAGTCCAAACAGTTTGTTTACTCAAGGACATAAATGGCTTTAATCAAAGCAGAACATGCTGTTAAAATGTTGACCTTAAAGCAGAAGTGTAAATAAGACTGTGATTTATGAATCTGCTAATACCCTTCTCTGCTATAGGTATTAGAAGGATTGAGTATTTGGCTGTGGTAAATATACCAAGAATGTAGACTTGTTAAAGCAGTATTAGGTATCCTTATAAAACTCCACTTCGATTAAGAGTTACAAATTGTTTTCTCTCCTTCTAGGCCTTAAAGAATGCGTGCCAGAAATAGTGATACCCAGGGCTCAGCCCAAGAGGAATTTCCAAGACATAGTAAAGACCACAGTTTCCAGGACATGAAGCACAGACAGCAAGACAAAGACCTTACTAGAGAGTCAGATGCACTTCTTTCATGTCCCCAGTCAGAGAAGCCACACAGTGGCAATGGCCACCAAGCAGAAGACCTCTCAAGAGATGACCTATTATTTCTCCTCAGCATTCTGGAAGGAGAACTACAGGTCAGCTGGATTGGGGTCACCTCTGCTGTAACTCAGGGGAAGGCTACTTGTGAGTTTGGTGTGCATGCTGCCACAGAAATAGATTATTTGTGGTTCATACCTGTGTGTACATGAAAGCAAAGCACAAATACATATACACAGAATTCTTTTCGGCCAACTCAAAGCGCAGTTTAATTGTATTTATAAGGGTGGTGTTAGGACATACAACTGGCATGTACATTGTGAAAGGTAACATCCTCCACCCAAGCAGACGTACACGGGTAATAATGCCACAACTTCTAGATAGCCTTAAATATCAATAGGGGTTTTGTACTCCATGTAAACTTGCACCTAGACTTGTCCGGCATTATTAACCTTTTTTATTTATGGAGAAAACTAAAAACAGCTGATACACATAAAGGAATATCCCAAATGCCGGTCCAATGAAGGATGTCATATTATCTTCTATCAGATCAATAAAAATGTAGTCCCCAGTGTTATATGGGAATTACTTTTCAAACTATTACCAATGTGTAATTAGTTTGTAGGAAGAGTGAAGGAAGAACAGTTTTATTAACTTTTCCCAAAGGTACTATAACCAAATATGATTCATTTGTATTTGAGAAAGAAGAAAAACACTTTCAACTATCACAAGATACCACTTGCTGAGGCTGCTGGTACAGAAAACAAGCTTTCTGAAATACCTTTTGTTCTTACAGGCTCGAGATGAAGTCATAGGCATTTTAAGAGCTGAAAAACTGGACTTAGCTTTGTTGGAAGCTCAGTATGGGTTTGTCACTCCAAAAAAGGTGTTAGAGGCTCTCCAGCGAGATGCTTTTCAAGCAAAATCTGCCCCTTGGCAGGAGGACATCTATGAGAAACCAATGAATGAGGTATGCACAACATTGTGGGCTGGCAGTTGGGAGGCAGAAGCTCACCGACCAGCTGAGCATTGGGTCTGTCAAGTGACACGGACACTTTATAGTTTTACTTCCTAATGCATTTAAAACCTACCAAAACTAGATAAATACTATAAGTTCTGTGGAAGAGAAAGATGAATAATGGATAGGATGTTTTCCACTAGGTGTGTTTCTTGAGACTGGACGGAAATCTCTCTCCTCTCCCTCCCCAACCCCACGATGATGCATGCATGCACACTCAAACTCTTATTGGTCTGTATTTCTTGAAGGCAATTCAGGCTAAAATAAAAAACAGATGAACTCCAACCATCAAAGTTAATTTCTTTGAAAACAGTGAGGTATTATGTCATAGAAATTTTGAGCTGGAATGGAAATGATCTGAAGTGCCCAAGAAATGAGAGTTTCAGAAAATATATATTTTAGATAAACGCATATTCTCTTTTTCTTCACAAGTTTAAAGACAGCAAAGTCCTTTCCTCTACCAAATGTGTGCAGTAATTACAATAGCAAGGGTGAGCAGCTGTAACATGGCAACAACGACAAAGTACTTCTTCCTCTCTTCCTGGCTGACATTTCTGAAACTCTCTGGCGTACTTATTTTATTCTTCTGGTTTCTTGTGACTTCAATGGAAATTTTCATATATTTTCATTTTTATAAAAAGGAAGCAACTAAGGGTATGAGTTAAGGCTGGAGCAAGTGCAAGCAAGTTCTGGACAAATTTCCACATAAGCTTTGGCAATCTACCTCATGACTGACCTCTAATGTCCTTGCTATTCTAGTCTTGGGAGTCTCGTGAGAAAAGACTATTATCTTGCCAAATTCTGAAGTAGTTTGGTCATATGAATCTACTCCTCTGAAGGGTGAGGATGAGACCACCCAAAGTCTGTTGACATGCACCTTAATCCAAATTTTAAACAACAGAAGCTAACACTGCATACAAAACAACCAACTTAAAACTATATAGTGGCTCTCAACATACTGACTGTGCAACATTAGGCACAAGTTCTCCAACCTATGTGAGCTCAAATGCAAAGTTATGATCAGTAAATATATTCTCCCAAAATAATTTAACATTTCAGAGTGAAATGAAGCAGAATTATTTCAAACTTACATTGAAATCAATAGGAAAAGTTTGTTACAAAATAATTCTATGATACACATGCAAAAATGGAAATAGTCTGATTCTCTGCAAATGTTTTCAATCCTCACTCTGTAAAATAACCAGCAAAGTTCTCCATAATCTGTCTTATTTTAGGAATTCAACTTTGAATACATATACCAAATCCAAAGATTTGTAGACTCTTCAACACACACACACACTCTCATGGTCTCACCTCTATGATTTGCCAGTTTTCCTGTCTTTCTTTCTACTTTCCCTTATAGACTTCTACTATCTTAACTATCAGTCTATTCAATTCCTTGAAGTCCACATAACCACCTACACAATTCAGTTGTCTACTCTTTTCCTGTAATGGGGCCAGAGGAGGAAACCCAGAGAATAAAGAGTAAAGGGAAATTCTGATGAGAATTCCTTAGATGGGGCTAATGAGAATAATTGCTGGAAGGATTGTTCAGATAGTTTCTACTTCTTGGGCGTCTATTGTGTTGGTGTGTGTTAATTTAGTGGTAAGTATGAGTGAAATGACATAAAGCACTAGAGAGCTAATGAGGTACACAATTATTAGTGTATGATCATGGAAGAGAGGGAGGGAGGGGAGCAAGGGCAGTGTTCCCAGTAAGACCTCAAGTGTCTGTACGCCCTAGTCACATTGGAATAAGTATCTGCATGGCAATGTCTGTTCTTTAGCTGTCTCCCATTTTACAATGTTAACATCTACACTTCACTTTTGTTTTCTTCACAATGTTCTTTCTGAAAAATCTAAAAATGTGTCAATCAAGTCTAGGATAAACTAGAGGAGAGTTATCTAATTGTTAAGGCAAAATAATAACTTAGAAGAACAAAACTGTTCTCAGTTAAAGAGGGTAGGAACCTCTTTAAAAACTGTTCTCAATTAAAGGTAGGAACAATGACTTAGGATGAAAATCTGTTAAGGGGCCTGTGAATTACAAGAAAAGATGGAGGGTGGTCAAGAGGGAGAGAAGAGGCAAGAGCTCAGTCCACAACTTTCTATTCCTTTCAAACCTAGGGTTCTAAATTATAAGTTAAAAAAAGATACTTAACAGCCTAATAGATGTATTGTTCTCGATATTACAAAACAAAAAAATCTAACAACATTTTGAGGTTATCAAGGTGCTTCAATAAAAGAATCTGAATACCATAATGGCATAATCTTAAAGTATTTATTTTAAGCAAATGTATAATTTAATCTCTACATTTCACTTTATTCATTTACTTAATATTTACTGAAGAGCTGATGGATAAAAATAGTTGTGATTCCTGCCTTCAGGTGTTTAATATCTAAGAAAGTCCCAGACAACAAGTGATTCAATAAATAAATATATGACCACAGAATACCATGAGACACAATTTAGACAGAAGCCTCGGGAAGGTAAAGATCCAAAGGATGAATAGGGATTAGTCAGGTAGAACATAAAGGACTTCCATTTCCAGCAATAATAAAGACTATAAATCATGAAGCTATCACTAAATAATTAAAATGTTAGATTAAATATAAAAAACACTATCAAGTGTATGGTTGAACTACAATGAAGAAAGAGAAATTCTGAAACTAGGAACTAAGAGAAATTTCTATATGACAGCATCTAGCTTTACATATTTTGCACTTTTCTTCTGTATAATCCATAAACATTCAGGGCAAAAAAACCAAAGAACATAGTCATTTTCTGATGTAACCTCTAACCTTTCTCCTTTATCTGACAATGGCTGGATGTGTTAGTAAAAATATTTACAGTAGCCAGCAAAAATATTTCTATAAGCCTTTCCTAAAGCAAGATGGCTAGCAATAACTTAACAATACATGAAAGTGGCTATGAACCACATCATATATTACTTTCAATGTCAACTAAATTTTCCTGTAGCAGGACCTTCAAGACGTTCATAATCTTTCCAAAACTATCTGTCATAAAAGGAAGTATGATGGAGGATAACTCAAAATAGAAAAAAGACAAAGTTCAGAATTGATTACAATGAAAAATCTCATACTATTTTTTTTTCAGTCCTGGATTTTAAATCCAGTGCTTTGTGCTTGCTAGGCAGGTGTTCTATCACTTAGGCCATACATCCAGACCAAATATCTTATTTTTGTAAAGTTTATAAAATATGCAACTAGGTGAAAACATTGCTTGGACTCTTACAAGGTCTTAGAGGATGCCTATGCAAGTGAAAAACCTTAAAGCTTAAGCTTTATCAACTTCATGGAAAATTCTCCTCCCTTTTCACTTTCTGTCTATGTGCATGAAGGGACAGAGGTGGCATCAAGGAGAAAGAAAAGAAGAGAAAAGCATCAGGTAAAATGAGAGCTACAAGGAAATGAAAAGGGATGGAGCAAGAAAGCACATACAGATGAAGAGGTTATGAATGTTAAAGGATTTAGAAAAGTTATATGAGCAGAAGCAGAAATAAAAACAGAATATTAATGCTTGGTAGACTATGCTCAATCAAGTCAGAGATAGGAATAAGAAAGCAAAGATGTGCCCAGGCCTGGAACTTAGAGAGAAACGGATGGGCTTCAAATAGGTACCCCAAGGAAAGAAAATGGATGCTGACCAGGCATAAGAAAAAGAGCCACAGTAAGTCCACCTAAATTGGAAAATGACCAGGATGCTACCAAAATTGAGTGAGTAAAGATCACTGAGGTTAACAGAAGGCCAATGAGAATAAGAAAAAACTCACCACTCAAAGTGAGTATGCAGCTGTGTGTAGTAGCAAATATCTGTAATCCCAGCACTCAGGCAAAGTAAGGTAGATCTCTAATTTGAGGACAGCAAGACCCTGTCTCAAAACAAACAAACAAAACTAAATCAAAACAAAAAAACAGAGTAAAGATGAAACAAGGAAGGACTTTCAGAAGGGTCTGGCAATGACAGTGCAGAACTATGAATGTCATGCCTCCACTTACAGGGTCTGATTTTGAAGGCAATGAGAAAATAGTATCTTTCAGAATTCTAGTATAATCAAGGAAAATCGGCATTCGGTACAAAGAAGGGGTACATTATGAATATATTTGGTTACCTCTGATCTATTAAAAAGTCAATGTCTCGCCTCTCTAGAATAGATTTATCTCTACCAGTATATTCATGGTAATCGAAAGACAATTTAAAAAAGGATAATCTACAAAGAGTCAATGGAAAAGAACAAAAAGAATCACAGCCATAGCACAGAAAGACAACCAAATCCAAATCAGGGTAGTCTGCGAAGGTCATTATTATTTTCTAAATGAATATTAGGCTGTATTAAAAGTAAAAAGATGGTAAATCTCTCTGTGTGTCATTCTCTATGACATAAAAGGATCACCAAAAATCCAACCTAATCAGACACACTGATCTCTTCTTCCTAGGCAAGGAGCTGCATTTTTTTTTGGTGGGGGCAGGGGTAGATAGATAAATTGCAAGCTGGAAGCTTATCAGTACACAGGAAACATTAGGAAGTTTTCTGAATCTGATGCCCCCCTGAAATGACAAGAGTCTTCCTTCCTATTTTCTTCCACAGCTTCAACCTGAAAAGTGAGAGCAGGAATTAAAAAACAAAAACATTAAAAAAAAAAAAACCCAAGAAACAGAGGGGGAAGTGATCCTCTGAACATCCTTTATTACTTTATGATACACCACCTGACATTATTTTTAACTGTCCTATGTGTGTATCTTTCTAGTGAGAGTGCCAACAAAGTTCAAACTTTTCTTGAATTTCTCCATGGCAATTATCACAGAACTTAGGTACTCCTGGCAAAATAGGCACTTAAATACTTGTGCAAAAATTGTGGCACCAGAATTTATCTTATAAATCATCAAATTCAGCCACTTAATTTATAAATAAAGAACCTGATATAGTATAGTCAAGTGGTTTGGCCAAACTCACATATGTTCAGGGAAGATCAGGTCCATCATTTAATTTGTCAGGAATGAGGAACAGACTGATATGCAAATCACTTGTGTACTTTTTAAAAGGCATTCTGGACATGGAGAAATGAAGTCAAGGAATAAAATTTCAAATATAGGCTAAAACATCTCCAGAATCAGTTTGGGAGCTTTCCCTCTGCAAGTTCACCATTCTACAACTTTCCAATTATTGCTGTTACAAACACAAGGTGCCTGTTGTCTCTACTGAATAAATGTAGCAAATTCAAACCAGTCTTTAGAGTCATGGAATGTGACAGAAGGGAAAGCCTAGAGAATTAGGCTATGCTATGTAGGAGAAAACTATTCTACCCAGCAGTCAACAGAGAGCAGGAAAGGTTTTGGAGAAAGGGGAAAAGGTTTCTGAAAAAAGCAGTCTTGAAATGTGGCAGTGAGTTCTAAGAAGCCCCTCACATCCAGTGTGGCTAAAAGTTGAATGAGAAAAGTGGGAAATGGAATGAAACTGGACCTGAAGTGGCAGGGGGTGAGGAACTTTTGGCCCTGAACAGGAGAATGAGTCCCCCATCAGTGGAAGCTCATTCTGTCAGTGATGAGGACAGATTGGAAGGGGGGAAAGGAGACTATTTAGGTGATAAATGAAGGGAAATGATTCATTCTTTCCAGTCGTCCTTCTCAAGTGCCTAGGAATGAGCAAACAAATGACCACCAACATTTAAGGAAGAAGAAACACAATGGAAAGCAAGAGTGGATTAAATTGCCTTCTATGTTCTCTCTTTGGGCTGACTGAAGATTAACATATATGTTTGAACAACTACTAACATCTATCTAAGAACTTTTTTATTTTCTATGTAAATAGTCATTTAACCTTACGAAAATATCTGTAATTACTAAATTATTAATTCTAGGGTCAATCTTGGTACAAATTAAATTGAATTTTTTTTTCTAAATCAACTAATTAACTTCCCTAATGCAGGCTAGTAGAGTGGCTCAAGGAGTAAGAGCACTTGCCTAGCAAATATGAAGTCCTGAGTTTGAACCTCAGTACCACAAAAAAAAAAAAAAAAAAAAAAAAAAAAAAAAAGACAATGCACAGGAAACTGTAAGATAGATTTTTCAGAAGGCTATAAGTAGCCATTGTCAGAGGGCTTGGGACCTGCTTCCAGGACAAATCAACACTATCAGCTGACAATGCCTCTGCCAGCAGGCAACACAATTTAGTAGTTCTAGTTTCCACAAAAGAATGGGCCACATTAATTAAAAATGATCAACAATTACATAATCCAGTCTTTTGTGAGTATATGCTAAACTATTATAGCAAATCCATATCAGAAAATTAAACAACGAACAGAAGCATTTAGAAGTCTGAGAAAATTCTCTGGGTTCTATACGCTGAAATACGCACTTTCTGTAATGAAATTACTTGGTCCCTTTGTATTTTGGATTCTGAGTCAAGTAGATGCTTTTTTAGTATATACACAAAAAATCCTAAAACTGCTAGTTGGCATTAAATTCAAAGTGAGTCACAATTCTTAGCCTTTTATGATAACAGCACAACTCAAAATAGCAAAACTCAACATAGTATCAGTTGTAACATCTAATATTTTATTCTGTTTTATTGTTTTTACATTTACTTACAGGTATACACATTTGGGCCACCCATTCCCCCTCCCCCCTTCCATTTAGTCTAAAACAATCACATGTTTTCAAAAGTATATTCTTAATTTACCACTGGCAAAGATCCTGAACCACTTCTGTTTTAATTGGCCCCCCCCCATCTAGCTAATTTCTTTCTTATTTATGGCCTTCTTGTTTGTTTTTAACATGTAAACATACACTGGATACCTATCACCAGCAAGACATTGTGTTAGAAGCTAAGAATTCAAGAAAAATTAGATGTAGGCCCTGTCCTTAAGGAGTTCATGGTGTAGTAAAGAAGACAAGCACATACATCAGGCAAAGAATGATCACTTTATAAAAAAGATATAAGTATGGTATTATAAAAAACCACAAAGGATTTAGTGTTTATATTTGGTAACATCCACTCTACACATCAACAAAGATTGAGTATCTATCTACCTACTTCTGTATCTGCCTAGCTATTTGTAGGTAGGCACTACTGTACTGTAGAGTAGACTGGGGCACAAAGGATCATAAGGGCAGCTGCAGAATCCAGCCAAGATTTTCTTATTCTCTATCATTTTCATATGGTTTCTCTGGAAAGAATAATAACAGTATCAGAAAAAGAGTATGTGGAAACTGTTCTGGTGCCCACAGAAACACAGATTTTTCTCTTCAGAAAAGTTGGATGATAGTAAAAAAACATTTATTATTAAAATGCACCAAAAAGGGTCAGTTAACACAATGATAAAAACTACGCAAGGTGATTTTAAAAAATCACTGAATTAATTAATAAACACACAGACATATCTGGGATGTACCTAAATGAAGGAAGAATGGAAGTATTGTGAACAATTTGTGACTAACAGGCAATAAATGCATTTTCTTTTGTAGTTGGACAAAGTTGTAGAAAAACATAAAGAATCTCACAGACAAATCTTGGAAAAACTGTTAATGGTAGAGAAATCCCATAAGCAAACTATATTGGAGTTGGAGGAAGAGAAGAGAAAACATAAAGAATATATGGAGAACAGTGATAAATTCATAAGCTTACTAGAACAAGAATGTGAAAGGTAAGACTACTTTGGATGAAACTATGACCCATTCTGCAAACTATTACTAACCTATTACTATGGGCTGGGTTCTTTTTTTTGTTGTTGTTCTGTGAAGATATGGGCTGGGTTCTGTATCAAGTATAGAAGGATAAATATGACAAAGACTGTTATTAAAGGTCTCATAGTCTAGCTATAGCAAGGGGTGTGAGTGCCACATGAGAAAAGGAAAAGGCTAGTTATAAGCAGGTGGACTTTATACCGTTGACAAGATGGACCCAATGAAACACTGTGGGAAGAATGAGATAGTTGAGTATGCTTTCTTAAGGAACTATTAAAGCAACATGAACAAAATATTGGAGTAGCTTTAGAGTTGAGGCAGAAAGCATTCTAAGGAGGTAAATATGGAGATGAGGGGATGAGTAGTAGTATAAATAGGAAATATTTATGATGTACTGTTAACATGAGTTGGTAACTGATGAGAACGGAGAGAAGAGGAAGGGCAAGAGGGAGTTATTTAGAAGCACTCCAATTATCCATAAAGACATGAAACACGGGAATGAGCACAGATTTTTGTTTTGATTTTCTTTGTTCTGCTTTGCTTCGCTTTACGTGCTGCTGTAGGATTTTCATCAGGGTGGATAACTTACAAAGGAAGGAGTGGGCAGAAGATGAGTCCTCATTTAGACATGTTAATGTATGAAGCACCTTAGCATATTCCAACATCCAGCAGAAAGATTATGTAGAAAGACAATGTATAATCAGAAGTACAAGTCTGGAAAAGGATGGGCTGGTGATGTTCATTTGCAGTGGTTAACAGTTGAAACTGTTGGTACAGTCAAGAGAGAGAAAGCTGAGAATGGAGCCCTGGAATACAACAATACTTGCAGGTTTTCTAAAAGAAAAGGGACCAAGAAAGGAAGCTGAGAAAGAATGGCAGAATGTTGAAAGAACCAGAAGAGAAAGAAGGTAATGAAACAAAGCCAGGAAAAACTTTCTAAATAGAGTGAACAGTCAAATAGCAACTATTTATGCAAAAAAAAAAGGATAAGAAATGTTTCAGGATTTGGTGTCAAGGAAGACACTGAGGGAGCTTCATGAAACATTTCAATAAAGTTACGGTCAGAAGTCAAGTTGCAGTGCTTTCAAGAATAAATAATAAATGAGACTGTAGAAGTTCAATATGTGAACTAGTATTTGGAGAAATATAGCTACAGAAAAGGAGAGTTTGGTTGGTAAACACTTTACCACCACTTGTAGGGCCACTTTGTTTCACTTTGATCCTCTATTCTGAATCAATTTAGAAAGTATTAGCATGTATAGCATCTATATTAAATTGAAAGGGCAATTAAACCTCTCTATGCTGCAAAGACAGAAAGAAATTTTTGCAATGTTAAATTTTTACTAGGTGTTTATTTTCCTTTTGTTATTTCCATGTGTATGTTTATGAATTACAGAGCTAATGATGCTGGTGTCTAATGACCATACAAAAATGCAGAAAAAAATTTATCTATGAGCTCCCTTTTCCAAAACACAAGCATTCTAAACTACTTTATTCAAATATTTCCAACTCACATTTTAGGTAAATAAAGTCTGATCAATATTTAGGCATCTAAACTAATGGCAAACTTTCATTTCTTTCAGTGCATATCATGATAGCACTTGTTCAGAGTGTAAGAGAATCCATGATCCTTACACCCAGCTATTTTTTTTTTCAAATTTGTTTTCTAGTTACTACATGGTAGGGGTGTGTGTGTGTGGTGGGGGGCAGGGGTTCTTAATAGTCTTCCCCTCATGAACACTGAGATATCTCAGAGCAGATTAAAGGAACACAAGAAATCTGGCACCAAGGGAAGACTGACTCAGACATTACAATATACAGTTGTTATTCAATGAGACAATGTTATATTAAATATTATTTTGAACCCCTGTGGTTTGGCACTAGTGGCTTCATTTGGCCTCCATACTTACTTGACACTAACATGCTAAACACAGACACTTTCTTTCATCTCTCATTATTGTTGAGTATTTACTGACCACGGTCAGAGTGTTATCTGTCATAGAACAAAGAGGTACAGGCGGTCCCTGCCCAGGGGGCTGACCACAGAAGGCAAGATGATACAGACTTAGGGTAGGAATGTGAAAGGCTGTTGGGTTACAGTTCTAATATTTACTATTGTATTTCTGTGGAGGAAGGCTGGAGATGGCTATCCAGAAGTAATTCTGTTAACACTAGGAAGCAGATGATGATCATTGTTTAAACCCAGAAAGAAAAGACAAACAACACTGAGAAACCAAGTATCAATAGTAATACAGGTCATAGACCGGAGGAGAAGAAAAAGAGGTAAATGTTAAGTGTACATCATGTAATTGATACATGTATTATGTGAATTTAGGAGGAAGAATTTAAGATATATCTTTTAGTCTCATAGGATATAAAGTTTGTCTTGAAAAATAGTAAAACTGAACATGCCATTACCACCAAATAGGAAAGAGTGACTAAATTAGAATATCTTTCAATCCCTGGATGGCCATTTTAAAAGATATGTGAATATTCACCTATTTCTGTTTGCCAAGGAATGGTTTCCAGATGGAACTCTTTGGGTGTAAGAATCTTAAACCTATTCTCAGCTTATACAGTATACAGATAATTCTTCCTTTCTTCACCTGTACAATATCACAATTTCTGTATCTTGGCATTGTTGGTGCATTCACATTTACCCTTTCTGCTCATCTGCCTTCTGCAGGGAGACTTGCAGGCCACATGAGGCAGAACTGAATTCTTCCTACTTCATGGCCATTTGCATCAAAGTAATAAGTGAATACTACCTAACAAAATGGGCAGTGGGGGGCCATGATTTCAGGTAAACAAACTTTGAGGAGATGCTTACAAGAGTGAAATATTATCAGTAGCAATGTATTTCATTTTCAGGTGTCATGGCAAAACATATACCATTAAGCAGTCCTTCAAACTTAGTGAGGGTACTTCCTCTTAAGCACAGTCACCCCTCACAAAAGCAGGACTAACTTGTCCAATGGTCAAAAAACAATGTTTACTTACTCAATCAAAGTGACGAAAGCCACTCCCAAAGTAGTGGGCTCAGTACTACAGCAGAACAAAAGATATAACCCCATATAAAGGGGGTTGGGTGAGAATAGCTACAGACGACAGTCTGATTAAAATTCCGAAAAAAACAGTGAGGATCTGGCACTCATTTTAAGTGTTGGTTAATATCTATATGGAAATAAAAATTTAAAAATACATGATGGGGGTAGTTAATGAGACCTTAGAGGATGTAATAATGGATTTCAAAGCTCAAATTCTGTGTTTTTTTTGGAGAATTCATTTTATGTGGAAAAGTCTAAAGAAGCCTGATGTCACACATTGAATTCAGGCCAGAGTGTTTGCCAAGTGATGTCACTTTCGTAATCAGTAAGCAATGGCTTTCCCACTGAAGTCAAGTCAGGAGGGATCAGCTCAGGAAAAGCCTGTTCCCAGGCTTGCTAATGTAAAGTTTCCTTAGCTGTAATCTGTATGGTTTGGTCTGTCCATATGGCAATATTATAGCAATGTTTCATGGCAACATTATTTTAGTTTCACTGGGTAGATATGTGTGTCACTGATGACCTGAATTATGTACTGGCTATATTGCAAGTGGAGTCTATGTGAAAGGTTTGCCAGTAATTTTTGGCCTTTCTGGATAGCTTCACAGGAAAGCCAAAACAAAAATCACTGTTAATCAGTGTAATTTTGCAAAATTTTCCCATAAGTGAAATGCCAATTTTGTGTGTACTTTCAAAAAAACTTCCAGAATATTCTTTTTTAGTTTCAATGAGTAGAAAGGCTGTGAAGCAAAAACTCTTTTTTTGAAATCATGCAATCTTTTTCAGAATACTAAAACAACCATGTATAATAACCACATATGTTACTGCATTTCTTTGAAATAAACACTAAAGCAGGAAACAAATATTATGGCAACTGTACAAAAATGTGGCTTTGACCATAAGTTTTATTTTTTTAAGCCTCGAATTATTTTTCATAATACTTGGCCAAGTAGGTTAACACTGATATTCATCTTATTTTAAAAATCAGGAGTTCACATGCTAGCTTCTCAGAAACAACACAGTGAGGAAGGAATTACAAGCAAAATTAATTTCTTCTTCGTATCCTTCCCAGGTTAGATAGACAGTGATACTGGAGCCCTAGGGATCTTTAGAGGAAAGTCAAGAGGAGTCGAGATTTAAGACTTGTTGTTTTGAACTCACCATGGCCAAGTCCTTTACTATTAGGTGTTAGTGAAGAACAAACCTTTTCTGCTACTCCCTTCAAGTAATTTTACAAAGATTCTATTGTGGACCCTTCTCTACTAGACAGGCCTATTATTTTGCAGACTTTCATTAGACAAAAAGACTGAAACAATGCTTGGAACCTATTTGACCCTATGGTTAGCTAAGTATATTGGACTTCCTTCAAAAAACATCAAATCTCTCCAGAGGCTTTGGATATTCCCTTGGAATACATAAATAAAGAAGAGTATCAATTAACTAATGTTTTAGTTAAACTAATTAGCTAGTTATTTTGCAAGCTAGTGGTCCTTGTCATTCAATCACTCAAAACAAAAAAATTAATTAAATACCTCCTACAGCCATATCTTGTGCTAGTTATTGGGTGAAGAAGGCAGATGTGATCTCCACCTACATAAAACCACAAATATTTTATTTTGTAAAACAGAGATACTACTGTAGTCTTCACATCTTGTAAGTGATGTTTCTAAGGCACTATGAAATCATGATGGATAGGAAAAAAGGCACCATTATGGTAAAATAACATAATGTGATGTTCACAAAGACAACTCTTTAAAGAGAAATCAATAAACACGTAAAACTAGAGAACTTTTATAGTAGAGAATTTGGCACCATGACTACTGCCACTAGAATTTCAGTTTCTTTGGTGTTAAGTCTAAGTTTTAAAAAATATTCTATGAAACAGAACACAATGGATACAATGCTTTAAAAGTCTA